CTACTGACGAGCAAAATGCGCTATCCTGCCAGAAGCACTTTTTTGCCAGTTTAATTTTGTTTACACAGAGGCTCTGGTATAAAAATGTTGCCAAGAAAAAAAACTCCTCCCTAGTTGACACTACTATTCTGGGAAGTTTCTCATGTAGGCCTGGTTTTGATCTGCTATCTTACATGTTGGGTAAATATGTCACATTGCCAATTGCTGTTCATGAAAGTTTATTTTCTTTTCATCCATGAGAATACTCCCCTATATTACCAGGTAACTTGAAGCAGATACTCTTTGTGTAGGTACCTTTTTAAATTACATTTATTGTTACTATGCTAACATGTAAAGCCCCAACTGTGATAGGGGCTGCATTATGCTAGAATCAGCATAAGCAGAGAGAGCTGGTCCCTGCCATTGAGCGGTTATAGTTTAGATTGGTGGACTATCCCAATATGAAAATTACTGGAGTGGTGATTCTAAAGATTAGCTCGGCCCACTTCAGGTTTTCTTTATCTGTGACTGACAAGAAAGACCAACATCCATCAGCTTCCATCTTCTCCAACCCCAAGAAGCTGATTGAGTAAGAACAAAGCTGGCACCAAAGTTCCTGGCTGCATGTTGCCGCAAGGCAGTGCCGCCACAGGTCAGTAACTCGCCATAAAAACCTTAGGGAGGGGTGTCTGAGACAGAACTGAACCAGAAACGCCTGACGGCCAGTCCCAGCTTCGAGGTGCCTGGTTCCATGAATGGGTGCATTGTTGCTAATCAGTAAGGGTTGCACTCTTACTGTTCCAGCATTTCGTTTGTAATCGCACCTGTGATGCCCTGGGTGCGTTCCAGCCATCCAAAGAGGGATAGTCCCTGCTCCAGTGAACAGGACAGGCAGGTAACTCAAGGAACTCAAAAGGCAACTGGCTACAGCTTGATTCACTACAACAGTGGTGTTTGCAAGAGGGACTTACAAGTGGAGAGGGCAGGGGCCTTACAGGTGAGTTTACACTGGGGTGGTGCCATTCATAGGTGACCATGTGACTGAATTTATGGAAGTGGTTGGGTGAGAGGCAGACCAGAGCAGGGGGGTAAGGAAGGATAGTCAGGGAAGGGCAGATTCTAGAATGAGCCGTGAAGGAGGGGAATGGGAGGTTAAACTTGATGCACCAGCAGATGGTGGGAGAGCAGGGGGCACTAGAAGGATGCAAAGGAGAGATAGCATTTAGCAGCGACATTTCAGGTGGAGCAGAGGGTTTATGTGTCTGGCCCCTCAGGAGAGCATTGCAGTGGAATACTTGAGTGGAAGGGGGAGGAGGGATAGCATGGGAGATGTTGAGGGTTTGGGACTGGAGCCAGCAGCTTAAGGTTAAGAAAATTAAGATCTCATTAAAAATCATGGAAACAACAGCAGTTTTGTATTTGTAATGTATTTCCAGCAGCTTCTTCACAGACAGGGCTGATCCTAGTCCTGGCTTTGAACACATCTGCAATGGAGGCTTTGACTCCAGTGCCCAGACTCAATCCCTCATGTGTAACAGGACCTGAATTTTCTCAGGGCTTGTCTTCCTGTACAGCGCTGCAGCCGGCTGCTGTAACACTTTAGTGAACATGCTGCCAGGAGAAGTGCTCCCAGCGGTATAGGAGGTGGTACTTACAGAGAGAGGAGAAGCTCTCCTGTTGACAGCTGTCTACATATGGGGTGAGGTCGGTATAACTACATAGCTCGGGTGTGAATTTTTCACATCTCTGAGCAACATACTTCTACTATTACAGGCCTGTAGTGTAGACCAGCCCTAAGCCAGGCCTCTGCATAAAGGAGGGGGGGGAGGGGAGAAAGACATCTCAGACCCTGACTTAGAACTTACCATTTATTTAGCAAATTGCTGGGGCTCAGTTCTGCCCCCCCTTTGCTCAGACTGAGAATTGACTTCCTTGGGGAGGCTGAGGTTGTTTGATAAAGGAGTCTATGTATGTGCAATATCAATATAATCACCAAGACCGTTTATTGGAAAAGAATATGCAAGTTGTGCTTGCTGCACCCAGCTAATTAAAGCACTGGTTCGGCTGGTGGGATGGCAGATGGCCCTTGTCCCTCCTGCTAGCTCAGGCATCCTGCAGCAGTTGACTTCTTTCCCCTTTGGTATGTACATTTTTTTTCCCCCTCCTCTAGGACTTGAGGAAAGTTTTGCTTGGAGGCTCCAGACTGTCTCATTCTTATGACGGCCTTGTCCTAACAAGGTGACCAGGATCTCCACACCTGATCACACGAACCCGTATCTAGTTACAAAATATTTTCCTGGGACTGCTGCTGCTATTTCTGCCTTGCTGAGCTCAGCCTGGCTGGTGTGAAGCTAGAGCATTTTATCTTATCTTTGCTCATTTCTGTGGGGGAAGGGGAGAAGTCTCCCTCTTCCTTACTTTAACTACAGCTCAAAGCCAAATCACACCCAATCCTTTCTCGGGTTGTTTTACGGCTCTTTCCAGTGGGACTAGAAAGGAGAGCGGCACTTGCACCTACCTAATGTTGAGGTTGCAATGTCATTAGAGCTGTGGTTGGCCCAGGATATTAGAGAGACGAGGTGAGTGAAGTGATACCTTTTATTGGACCAACTTCTGCTGGTGAGAGATGCTTTGGAGCCATACACAGCTCTTCTTCGGGTCTGGGAAAGGAACTCCTAGCATCACAGCTAAGACAGAACAGATTGTTTAGCATATGGACTTTGAATGGTCCTTTACTATATGTGCTAACTACTTATGCTAAACAATCTGTTCCATCTTGCATTGAGCTGAGCTGCTGGGATTTCCTTTTCCAGGCCTGAAGAGCTCAGGGAAAGCTGCAGGTGAAGTCACAGCACAAATTAACAAGGGCCACCCCCACTCTTCCACTTCCTCCCCATGGGATTCAGTTACTGCTGTTCACTTGAGTGCAAGTGCCAGGGACCCCTTCTCTTCTTTCTGATTTCCTTCCAAGTTCAGTTCTCTCCTCTGAGTTGTCACAGCCTTTGTTGGGCCCAGCTCATGGAAGTCTCCCCAGGAGAGCAGCAGCAAGGTTAAATTGCCCAAAAGAGTTGAGACCCATTGATTTCCACAGCACCGACAGCTGCCCTGAGGAATGTTTGTTTGTGGTAATGGATTAGTTAAATGTAACATTTTACTTCTTAAAATCATGTTGTCCTGCATGGTCAGAGGACGAGAGCTGTGCTGGACAGAAACTAGGACGCAGAAGGGCCGCTCCAGACCATTTTTGAGAGAGAGAAATGCTCAACCCCTTCAGTAGGGGGCCAGCACCCTCCCTTTCCCTCCATGTAAGGAACAGGAAAGTGATTTCGGATATGTCTGCACTCCAATTAGCCACCTGCGGCTGGCCCATGCCAGCTGACTCAAGCTCACGCTAAGGGGCTGTTTAAGGGCAGTGTAGAGGCTGGGGCCCAGGCTCTAGGACCCTCTGAAGTGTGAGGGGCCCAGAGCCCAGACTGCAGCCTGAGCCCAAGTCAACTGGTCCAGGCATCTAATTACAGTGCAGACATACCCCTACCTAAACACAAGCCAGCCACCTTTCCTAGCAGGAACACACGTCAATAGCATAGAGATGCTTTTAGACTGGCCACCGTGGGAGCCCGATCTCTCCTCTCACCTTCAGCTGCTAGTCCTTAGGCTCCGGTTGGAAATGAAGGTAGTGGTTGAGATGCGGCTAATACCATCAAACAAAACACATGGCTGCAGCACAGTTCTAGGCTGCCATGCAGGAGGCAGGGCCTTCGTTGGCTCCAGACTGGACTGCTTGATACTTTTGCTGCCAGAGCCTGGGTAGAATATCATGACAACATCAGGTCTGTTAAAGGTGCATTGGGGCTCCTCTCCCACAAGATGTATTTTGATCCAGTTGAATTGGAACCGGTGATTCAGTGATCCTGGTCAGTCACGTCCTCAGCCTTGTTTGGGCGTATGAAAGAAGCACCCAGACCGATGCTTGTTTTGTTGCAGCACCTAGCTGTTCCCCTCCCCTCCCCTGCCCCTTGCCTGAGGAGTTACTTGTCTTAACCTAGTCGGGTTATAGACCCTCCTTTTTTTGGTCCTTTTGAATGTTTTAAATTTGCTGCGACTGAGGCTTGCATTCAAAATGAAGCGACTGCTACATGGCTCTGCCTGCACTCTGCTTGGCAAAACACTCTGGAAAAGCGCTCGTGACACGCGTTCGCTCACATTTCCATTGGCAGGAGGGAAGCCTGGGCGGACAGCTGCAGTTCTTCGGTTCTGCCTCCACAGCACTGACATGCAAAATGTCACAAGGGGATTTGTTTTGAAAGACTGTGTGATGCGAAAACAGGATTCTTATGGAAACTATTCTCTCAGCCTGATCGTTCGATATCAGGCCTTCACTGTGATCCACACAGGAGCTAGGACATCCTCTGGGTGAGTGTGCAAAATCCCCATGAAAAGGCAATTAATTACACAGATTAAAAATTTAACAGGTCGCAGACTTTATGAAGTACAACTGTGAGCAGTCAGGCCTCAGGAGGATGCACTGGTGCATGGAATTGCTGTTCAAACAAGAGTCAGGCACATGCTCTGTACCTACAGCAAGCTGCACTTCAGACTCCCAAGCCCTGCTAGGGGCAGTGAATTCCGCTCCCACGCCACTGGACACACTCAAACAGCATTTAAACACCCACTGTAGAAAGTGTGATCAACCCAGCATCTTGAGCACAACTGATGGTTTAGCCTGGCTTCTGGCAGGAACCAAGCCATGCTTGAGGGGGACCTGAAGCTGATGTTATAGAATTAGCCAGCCAGCACCATTTTTAGCATAATTCTACCATTAAGTTTTGCAGTTGGCATGGCCTAAAAGTATCTTTAGGAATTCAACGTTCACTCCCGTGTAGGGAGCAGTGAAAGAGCACAAGCTAAGGGTGGGGTGAGGAATTCATTCATTAAAACTGATTTTCAAATACTGCACTAATTTGAAATAAGAACACACTTTTTCTCTCCCTCTGAACTACACCACAGTACGAACTACTGCCTGAAGTTTTCCATCACTTTATTTCAGGGCAGATTGTACAAGAAGAGAAAGTCGGATTAGGCAGATCTAGAATGCACATTTTATTAAAGTAAAAAAAAATAACAACCAGACAACATGGGCAATGGAGACAAGAACCTTTTTATACTCTGCCTATACAATAATATTCCTCTCTTTTGTTCACTGCTACACTACTATAACAAATATCTGTTCTAGTCTAACGTTAAGGTTGTCCAGTTAAATCATTTGAAGATCCTTTAAACAAATTAACCTTTACCTATTTAGAGTTTCTTCTCAGAAACTTTCATATATTATACAGGATATACAGATTTTGAAACAAGACACTTAAAAACACACACAACTATAGCCGCAACACTATCATAGCTGCATTGTAGTGATTAAGTTGTTCAGCCAGCTGTAGACTCTATCTGTACAATTTGTTTTTAATAGTGTTATTTACAATGATGGGCTAAAAGCGGTCTGTAATCTAAAAGGTAAAGGCTCTTGTGTTTAAGTATGTGCAGTTTCATAGCCCTGTGAAAACACGATTATATACACTGTAAACAGCACAGAGCATGAAAATGTCCTCCTCCCAAGAGAAAGTGTATGTGCACTAATATTCCTCTTCCGCATCTGCTCCTCCTCCTCTGGCTTTCTTGTGAAGAGTGCGGTTAAAGCTGTGGCAGGCAGGAACCCAACGATTGTCATGAAGACCTAATTTACACCCAGGGATGCCTTTCTGAGACTTGTGACAGCACATCCAATACCCCGGGCCATATGGTAAAGCTTGACAGTAGGGTTTGGGATGCCACCGGCACAGTGAGACATCCCCTTTCACATACTTCTTCTTGCACTGCTTGCAAGGATCTTCTTTGTAACGTGGATCACGGACCCAGCGGGAATCAGCTGGCCTTATGTTGTAGTATTCAATGATAAATTTGAAGTAACAACAAGTACATTTAAGAGCAACTAGACTCTTCGTGGGGAGCAATCTGAAGATCTTAACCATGATGTGGTGGGGCAGGAAGGCCATATACTGCTGAGGCTCCAAAAGCTGCTGAATTTTAAACCTAGTCTCCAAAAAGTCATGAGACACCTGCCGTCTCAAACAAGAAGTGTCAAGTACCTGCGCAGCCCTTTCCATGGGAGATAGTGACAGGGCAAATGGCTCCATGGAAACACTATTTATCTCACACACGCTGTTATTGTCAGCCTCAGCTTGGCCCACTTCTCCTGGCTTTTCTTTCGTACTTTCCCCTAACCCTGTGTGTTCTTGCTTGGTGTGGTGACCAGGAGGCAGAAAGAACAGCCTCCCTGGAAGTGGATCTTCACCAAAGCTAAAATTAGAAGGCTGCTCTTTCCTGCACCCCTTCTCTGTCTTGGTGACCGATATACTGATGCATAAAGACTCTCTCCTCATTGGATGCGAACTCAGATTAGGAACAGATACAGGTTCTCTAGCTGAACAATCAACAGTCGTACTCCCGCTCCGCATGGCATCTGACGACAGCCCAACAGCTACGGGACATGTAGAAGGGATGGACCCCAGAGGTTCCACAATCATTTCAGAATCACCTCTGGTGCTGGGTCTCTCTGAGATTTCTTGACCAAGCTTGACACTGACATTCACCATGTGGATATCCACAGCTGCTACTGCCGCCAAGGACTGCTGACCAGACGCAGCTCCTTCCCATGATTCATCAGCAGCCGAAGGGCCACGCTTTGTTCTCTGTCCAACATCATCCGCTGCAACGGGATCTTTTAAACTTACCTCCTGGCCAAGGACTTTGGAAGCTACCTTCCCAGCGTCACACTCCGACTGCGTGCCATTCGCCAGTAACATCCGCCCTATGTTTCTCCGGAAGCTGTTGTTCCTGGATAGGCCCCCGGCTTCACGCTCGCTCTGGCGCCTCAAGCACTCCGATTCAAGCTTTGCAACCATGTCCAGCACACGCACAGGCTCATTCTGCTGCTCACCGCTCCCACAGGTCCCTTTTTCAGAATGTACCTCGCAGGCCCCCGGGACAGAGAAAGGGTCTGAAGCAGGAAGTGCCCCTTTGGATTGCCCACTCAGCCTTGTAGTAGAAGCGTTCGTGCAGTTTTTGGTGCAGTCGGCCAGCAAAGCACTTGCTCTGTGTTCTAGAAAAGCTACCATCTCGATTACAGACAAGGATCGACCTGGAAATATCCCTTCACCATTGTCATTAACGTAATGTACAGAACAGTGCTCAATGCCACATGCAAAAGGCTCAGGCTGGGCGCACCTCCTGTTTGCCTCTCTCATCCTTTCTAACTGAATCTTTGCTTTTATAAGATCCATGGATTTCTTCCTTCGTTTAGCTGATCTTCCATCTATATCCCAGCTGCTTTTAAGTTTCATTGAGCCCATCCTATTGTTGTTGCACTGCTGGGCTGCAAAGAAGGCAATCTTTTCCTTGGTATTCCCAGGTTTCACGACGGCCCAGATATCTAACGGTCCTTCCCCCTCATCCCCCTGGTGGATTGTCGCAGACGGGGCATTCTTCTTCTTCTCAACACTTGGGCCTTCTGCTGGAGCTTTCCCACTCATATTGCACATAGTATTACGATAAATAATTCCCAAAGGCTTTCGAGAGGGAGCCACGACCGGGGACGTAGGTAAAATGCTCAGTTTGGTGCAGTTGTTTGTATACTTTTCCTCCTGTGCTGACCTTTGATGGTTCATATGCAGGCCTCTCAGGGAATCTTGGGTTATATCTAGAGATCGCTCTTTCTTCTGTAATTTGAGGTATGGCTTTAAGTGCATGCCAGAAGCCCTAGAAAACAAAAGTAAAGGAATTATTGTAAAAGCTGTCCAGGGCTCACTTCCCCCTGAATGTGAGTGTCATAAGAATAAGGCCCACCACGGGGGACAGGGGCCACAGGAGGGGGCCAGAGCCAGGAGAGGCACCAGAATGGCTGCAGGGGCAGCAACAATTGTCGTGTCCCCAGCCTGTGATGTCACTGCAGTTCTCCCTTGGAGAACTTCCATTAGCACCCTGGTAATGCTTTGATAAGCCCCAAAGACCACCAAAAGCTTCCATTATAATTTCTCTAAAATGTCATGGAAACAGATTTGAGATATAAACATTCTCCCCAAAGCATTTTAGGTTCCACCCAGTTGTTCTGACAGCTTTCAGTTATTGTTATTATAACTATTGATTTAGTCTAGATTCTTGATCCATTCATGTTTTAACCAAGCCAGAACCCCCTTCTCTCCCCCCCCCCTTGATATCCAGCACGGATTATCTACTGAAAAGAGTTTTTATAAAGAATGATGAAAGCTGAATAGAGAAATTAGCAATTGTAATTATACCGTTATACAAAGATCACACCTGATTTCTGATCTGCTGATACCTCCTATAGTCAACAATATCCCTTAGTATGTTGTTAACAACCAATTAACTGCACTTGCCTATGGAGATATCTACAGTCTGCGCAGGGTAAACCTGAACAATTTACCCCCCCCACCGGGGGGGGGGGGGGGGAAGAGACTAGATATCAAATTAAGAGTCACCTTCTTTGTTTCCATATTTTGCATTATGATGAACTGAGACAATCTGAAGTTTTTCTATTGAAAATCTAACAGCCATAAATTAGACGTATACTGGACCAAAAGTGGCATTTCTATTCCAGCAGGATTACGCTCAGCCCCTCTTTTCACCGTGGGCATTTATACATTTGTAATTTGGCTCGGTTAAAGGCCTAGGGGAGCATCCACACTGCCATGGGGGAGATGCAGGACTAATTACCAGCAGCCTTCAGTCTCTGGTCTCACTGGACTGTTACACAAGCATATTACCGGAACAGCTGTAGGGTATGTTTCCATGGGAACAGATTTAAATTTTTATATTGTAAAGCCTGTGTTGAAACTGGAATAATCTCTCTTCCTGTTCATTTAAATGGGAATTAAATGCCATCAAATTCATTGGGACAGCTTGCAACAAGTGACCAAAGCCACTCCAAAACCAGCCTCTCTACCTTTGCCCTTCTACTCGGAAAAGTCTCTTAAAGGCATCATGGAGCTCCATGGTGACTGTCGTGGAATGACTTAGAGATCAAATGTGCCCAGTCAATAGACAAGAGATGTTTCTAATTGTCAGGCTATTGAATCCAACCCGAGACCCAACAGCTAGTTGGGCTCTTTCCTTCTCACACATCACAACAGAGGCTCTGTATGATGCCCTCAGTTACACTTGGACCATCCCAAGTTTTTTTTTTCTCAACTCAGCCTATAGTAGGAACCCAGCCTCTGAGGAGAAAAGTAGGACATTCAGCAAAGAGTGTTTGCTAGAAGCTAAGATTCCTCAACTCCAATTGCCAGGGTAAAATGCGTTGGTGCTTGGGGACAACAGTTCTAGGCTGAGACACTGCAACAGATTGTCCAAAGTGAGGGAACTCCTTTCACATGGTTGGGAGGGGGGCTCTGCCTTTGTTTTCCCTTTCCAGTTTTGCTCACCACCTTGGCTTTAGTGGCAGAAGGGAAAGAAGAGTATGCCCTACCCACCAAACCTGAAATCTATGCTGTGTACACTAGGAACTGATGGACGGGAGGTCTTGATTGTCGGCTAGTCCACATTCTCAGAAGGTGCACAACCTAGAGGTCCTATTGGATCCTCTGCTGCTTTCAGTGAGTCCAGTAGCAGAAGTAGCCAATAACACCTTCCCATCCTCCCTCTGCTCCCAGCCTGTGTGCGGTGAGACGATCGCAACCTCTCGTCGCATGCAGACAGTGCCACAGTCACCTATGTGCTTGTCTCCGACTAGATTAGTGCAACAGGCGCCACTGGGCGTTACTCCCTGTGGCCATTTGGAAGCTTCAGCTTGTACAGAATGTGGCTGCTAAGTCTCTTCTGGGCGCAATTCCAGGTGTTCATTTTGACTCCTTTATTGGATCTAGATCACCTCTTCCTCGGTATTCCAACAATTGTGACCCTGTCCTTTGTTTTCCTTCCAAGTTGGTTTCTGAACTACACAACACTAAGATCTGCTTCCTTCGCCCAACTTTCTGATTAGCTGTGTCCTCTCAGGCTGCACTCAGAAAGTAATCAGGGTGAGCGGTCACTAAACTTCCTGGAAGAGAAACCTCCCAGAAAAATCCACTGCTTCCAGGCTGCTGCATGCAGAAAGTGGTGCTTGTGATACAGTAGGTGGCACTCTTTCCTCTTCATACTGGAACTGCACTGTGCTACTGAAGTGCCACCTTTCGCACTAGAAATAAAAATTTCTGGCCACTTAGAACTGCAGGTATCTTGCAAACAGAGAGCTGCAGTTACATAGACGTTTTTGCCTTTTGGAGTCCAGTAATTTGGAAGTACAAAATAAAATTCCCAGATGGAATTTCTAGTGCCAGGAAATGTGTAAGATCGAACAGAGCCTCATTTCTCCCTTTTCACTTATTTTCTGACATGCACTAAGCAGGGCAATCAGTAAAACATCCTTCGTTAAGGAGACTGCCGCTGAAAGTAAGGCCCGGTATTAAATTAATAAACTAGGACTGAACTAATTACTCCAACATGCTTAGTCAGCAGAAGTGGTTCAGCTGCTCAAGGCTACTTCTGGTTTATGGCAAGAGAAAGAGAAGAATCACAGATCATCTATTATGGATTTTTCATTTAAGTTCTCACATTTCCTCCAGTATTTAGGTTACTGGTGGGTGAGGTGGAGAATATTCCTGAAGGCTGAAGAAATTATATCATACATCAGGAAGTCATAGTTTAGTTAAGTTTTATTGCCAGAACAATTGCCTCATTTGAATTCAGGGTTCAATTACACGGTGTCTATCTAGAATTACTGAAAATCCTAATAGCGTCAGACAGTGATAAGGAAGCACTGCTAATTCCATCTGAGCAACAGATTGGGGGTGGCATCCGTTTCTCAACATTTTCAGCCATTGAGGAGACAGCAAGCTGCATTTTAAAAGAATTTCACAAACTTTACAGCAAAAAGTTTATTGGAAAAAAGTTCTCATCCACTGCAATGTGAAGATTAGAAAAAAGAGCTAGTTTTAGATCAACCAGCAAGCATTTTCCCCACCCCCAGAGTAACAGCACATGTTCTCATTCTAGAAGCTATAAAAGACAAGAATCTTCTGATCAGAACTCGCGCACAATCAACCATAGCCTAGATACCCTTTCACTCCCTAATTTCTGCAGCATCCAGTGCTACAGGCTAGTTATTGTGGGAGCTGCAGGTAAGTTTTTTAAACTGAGCATTTTTTAAAATGAGTTAAATACAAGAGTGATTCACAAGATCAGGGTCTTACCCCTTGTGATATTTATTCTGATATTAAATTCAATTTGTTTGCCTCTACCGTGGTGTCTCGGATGTTTTTGTATAGACAAGGACATTGTAGAAGTCATCAAGTGGGAGCTGGAAGCTTTGGCACCTGGTTAATGGACAGTTCGGGCTTTTGGGCCCCAGGGCAAGAACATTACCTGGATATTTCTTCTGAAAAGGATCAGTAGTAAAATAATTAGCTATGTTATTTAAAGTATCATTATTCTACCTTTAAGCCACTGAGATAACGGAGCGGTTCACACATCTCTAAGGGTGCATCTTCGCTAGGAAAAGAGGTGTTGACTCATATTAAAACGATAACCTGCCTTGTCGTCACTAGGATTTGACCAAGTTATTTACCATGTGCTAGTTAACACAAGTTAAGAACACACCTTTATTCCTAGTGAAGAGAAGATTTAAGAGCTACTGTTTCAAGCTGCCTGCAGACTCAGGTAGGTGTTACTGCATTGTTTTATATTTGGAAGGTCATCTTCACAATGAAGGAGGCTCAGAAACCAAAGAAATGGTTTACTTTCCATGAAAGCTTAGATACGGGAGCAGAAGTCTGTAGTACGGCTGGTTAGAAGTTCTCAATCTAAATTATTTTTCTGCTCTATGGGCCAGGCTCCCCAATCAGACTACATCCCGCAGAATGCACCATGGCCAGGGACTCTCATGATTCAAGAGAGGAGGCCACAGCACGATGGGAAATTCCATCTGGCGTATAGAGAACAAGACCATGAGGCACCACAGCTGCACTTCCAAATCAAAAAAATCTTGTCCGAATACCAAAACATTTCAATAGTCACATTTCTGCCCAAACGCTGACATTTCCCACAGGAAAAGAAATTTTTTGTTGACCAGCTCTAGTCCGCAGCAAGTTCCATGGCCATCGTGTTGTAGAGTACAAAAGGACAGAGTCTCATAGACTCATAGACTTTAAGGTTAGAAGGGACCATTATGATCTAGTCTGACCCCCTGCATGATGCAGGCCACAAAAGCTGACCCACCCACTTTCCCTTGACTCTGCTGTTGAAGTCCCCAAATTCTGTGATTTAAAGACTTCAAGTCGCAGAGAATCCTCCAGCTAGTGACCCCCGCCCCATGCTGCGGAGGAAGGCGAAAAACCTCCAGGGCTTCTGCCAATCTACCCTGGAGGAAAATTCCTTCCCGACCCCAAATATGGCGATCAATAGAACCCCGAGCATGTAGGCAAGATTCTCCAGCCAGACCCTCATTGGCCATTGATACTATTGACCAGCGATGGCACGCTGTTGAATTGACTAAAATCACGTTATCCCGTTAAACCATTCCCTCCATAAACTTGTCTAGCTTAATCTTAAAACCAGACAGGTCCTTCGCCCCCACCGTTTCCCTCGGAAGGCTGTTCCAATATTTCACCCCTCTGATGGTTAGAAACCTTCGTCTAATTTCAAGCCTAAACTTCCCCACGGCCAGTTTATATCCGTTCGTTCTCGTGTCCACATTAGTACTGAGGTGAAATAATTCCTCTCCCTCCCCGATATTTATCCCTCTCATATATTTAAAGAGAGCAATCGTATCCCCCTCAGCCTTCTTTTGGTTAGGCTAAACAAACCGAGCTCCTCGAGTCTCCTTTCATACGACAGGTTTTCCATTCCTCTGATCATCCTAGTGGCCCTTCTCTGTACCCGTTCCAGTTTGAGTTCATCCTTTTTAAACATGGGAGACCAGAACTGCACACAGTACTCCAAATGTGGTCTCACCAGTGCCTTGTCTAAATGAATTGCCTGGACCAACTGCTAAACATGACCTTGGGCAAGTAACTTCCCCTTCCGGTGCCTCAGTTTCTCCATCTGCAAAATGGGGATAATGATCCGGAGCTCCTTTGTAAAGCCCTTGGAAAGTTACAGATGAAGAATGCAGAGTAAGAGCTAGTTACTATTAAAATACATTTTGGTTCTGGTCAACCACTTGTAAGCTTTGGAAGCCCCTGTGACGTTGTGCAGTCTATATGGTTTTATAAAAACTTGATAATAAGTCAATATAATGTAACTGAGATAGA